GTGTATATCTGTACGTGAGAATTTTAATTAAGGAAAAAAGTAGCTCATAAACTTCAAGATAGGGCCAGGGAGATGGCTCAGTAGAATAAGTGCTTCCCAGGCAAGCACAAGGGCCTGAGTTCAAGCCCTGGTTCCACCAAAATTCTGCAAAAAAAAAAAAAAAAAAGCTAAAAACAACAACAAACACTTCAATACAGTGGTTCTTTATGTCATGAAAAAGTAAAAATATCTTCAATGTTTAGAAACCTCAAAGCTCACAGAAGGTTATAAACAAAGTAAAATCTTCCTTCTACATCCTCATTCCTCTATCCAAGCCAACTGCTATTCATGGTTTCTTCCAGAATAACATTTATATGTTTATGAATACTGATTTTTTTTCCTTGCTCTTTTACTCAGGTTTGTATACTAAACATTATTCTACATAGAAATATAGATTGACTTCATTATCTGTAATAGGGTATTTTATTTATAGTATTCATTATCAAAAAACTATTAAAAGATTAATAAAAAGAGGGAGTAAACACACAAAGAGTAACAGACATCCAGGTATAGAGGTGCATGAATGTAATCCCAGCATGTGGGAGGCTGAGACAGGAGGATTGCCATGAGTTCAAGGCCAGCCTGGGCTACACAGCAAGACCCTGTCTCAAAAAAAGATAGCTCTTTCCAAGTAAAAGACTTGTACTGAAAACATGGAATCAAAATAAGGAGTTACATCACAAAAAGATAAACATTAAGCATTTCTGATTTTTTAAAAAAGAATTATTGACACAAATGAACAACCATTTTGTGTCTGTATATTCAAAATAGGATAGATAGTGTTTGTGGGCAGGATATCATGTCTGTATCTTGTACAATGAATAATCACTAAGACAAGAATATGCAATGTATTAATTATTGAAACTATGCTAGTAATCGGTTTTGAAACTGTCTCATTGCTTTTTGTTTCTCAATAAAATTATTTAAAAAAAGAAAAAGAAAAAACCCATAACTAGGTGATTTCACTGTTAAATTCTATCACATATTCAAAAAAATTAACATCATTTATTCTCAAAATATTCTGGAAAGTTGAAAAACAATTTTTTTAAAAAAATATATTTGGTTGTTGCAGGGTCTCACTACGCAGCTCGGACTCCTGGTGATCCTCCTGCTTTCAGCCTCCTCTGCACTGATGCCCTGTGGGCTGGGCCGTGGTGCAGGAGATAAAAGCTGTCCCTGTGCTTGTTGAGCTTTCTCACCAGTCCTGCAAAACATAATTCTTCCAAACACATTTTGTAAGAAGAGCAGTACTCTGATAGCAAATGCAGAAAAGTAGCATAAAATGAAAAAATTATAGGCCAATATTCCCTATTAATATAGATGCAAACATTCTTAATATCCTAGCAAATTAGATTCAACAACACATCAAAATTATTGCATAAAATGAACAAATGGGATTTATTCCAGGGATGCAAGGATAATTCGACATACAAATCAATAAATACAGTATATCACCTCAACAGTAAAAAGGGAAAAAAGAATCTGAAAATCTCATCAGCATCAGAAGCATTTCATAACATTTATGGTTCCTTTATTGTTTAAAAAACAACAAATCAGATGTTGAACAAACACACAACACATAAGTCCATACACCAAAAATCCTGAGCTAGTGTCATATTTAACAGGGAAAAATTGAAAGCTTTTTCTCTAAGTTCTGAAAAAGAATATGCACTTTCTCCCCTCTAAGTGAACAAAGCCAGACCAATTAGATAAGAAAAATAAATGACGGGGATCTAATTGGAAAGAAACCTAACTCTGTTTGAAAATGACATGACCTAATATGAAGAAAAGAAGATTTCACCAAAACAACATTAAACTCATGAATGAACTCAGTAAATTTTCATAGTATAAGAATATTACAAAACCCAGTAGCATTTCTATACACCAGTGAGCTGGCTGAAAAAGAAATTAAGTAAGTAATACAATATAGTATCTACAAAAATAATATACCACGTAATAAATTTTAAAAATACTAAAAAAAAATTCCAAAATTAAAACTATAAAACACTGGTGAAAGAAAACAGAGGACAAAAAACCCAAACAAACATAAAAGATAGCCCACATTCATCACAGAAAGGTGTTAAAATGTCCCAACTGCTCAAAATGATATATGGATTCAATGTAATCCATATCATAATACCAATGATATTCTTCACCAAAAGTTTTTTAAAAACCTAAAATTTTCATGGAACCACAGAACATGCCAAAGAGACAAAAAATTCTGAGAAAAAAAAAACTGCCAAAGCATGATACATTACTTCTAAACATACTGCAAAGCAAAGGTAACCAAAACAGCACATGTTAGCATTAAAGCAGACACACAGATCAAAGGACTAGAATAGAGAACCTAGAAATAAATCCACAAATTTAGAGCCAATGGGTTTTATTTTATTTTTTTGAGAGTACACTATTTATTTATTTATTTATTTATTTATTTATTTATTTATGCAGAACCAGGGACTGAACTCAGGCCCTTGTGTTTGCCAGGGAAGCGCTTATTCCACTGAGCTATCTCTCCAGCCCCAAGCCAATGGATTTTAATAAAAGTACCAGAGACACATATTAGATGGTCTTTTGAATAAACAGTGCTGGGAAAACTATTCATATGCAGAAGAATGAAACTAGATCTCCATGTTTCATTATGTATATATAAAAATTTTAAGTGACTCAAAGACAAACGTAAGAACCAAAACTACAAACTTATTAAATGGAAATGTGTGGGAATGCTTTGAGACATAGGTTTTAGAAAACAAATCTGAATATAAATCCCAAAGCACAGGCAACAAAATAAAAATTGATAAATGGAATTATATCAAAATAAAAGTTTCTGCATAGAAAAAAGACAATCTCCAGATTATCCTGCTAAAAAGGGATTAATATAAAAAATACAGGAGGATCACTACAAGTCCAATCTGTGTAGTGAGACCCTGTTAAAAAAAAAAAAGACCCTGTAGACCCTGTACTAAATACATTTTTAAAAAATACATAGGGAACTCAAGTAAGAGCAAAAACCAAATAATCCAATTTAGTATTAGCAAATTAGCTGGACATTTATTAAAACCTATAAATGGCCCACAAGTATATGAAAACAATGCTCATCATTGCTGGTAATCATCAGAGACATAAACCAAAATCAGAATAAGATATCTCAACCCAGTTGAGATGGCTATAACAAAAAAACCCTAAGCAACAACAAACAAAAGTGCCAGGGAGCATTCAAAGAAAGGGGAACTCTCATATAATTGGTAGGAATGTAAACCAGCACAACCATTACAGAAAAGAGACTGGAGGTTCTTCAAAAATCTAGAAATGGAATTATGATATAGTTCTGCCATCCCACTATTAAGTGTATGTCAAAAAGAAAAGAAATTAGAATGTCAAAGAATTACCACACATCTACATTTACTGTAGCACTATTTAAAACAGCCAAGATATAGAATCTTCCTAGATACTCCTTGTTAGATGATAGGTAAAGATACATGTAGGTGTATATATTCACTGTGGAATAATTCAGCCATACAACAAGTGAAAAGCTGGTATTTGTGGCAAATATGGATGGATCTAGAGATCATACATTAAATTCAGTCAGTCAGGCACAGAAAGTGTACGGTCTCACTTATTTGTGGAAGTTTAGAATATTATTCACAGAAGTACAGACTAAAATAGTGGTTACCAGATGCTATGGAGGGAGAACAAAGAATGAAGAGAGGATAGTCATCAAGTAGAGAGTGCTTCTGGGTAGGTAGAATAACTACAAATATTCTGTGGAAATATTTGTAAATATGGATAAATATGGATGACAAAAGTTAATTATATATTTTAAAACTGATAGAAAAATTTCAGTTTTCTCAACAAAAGAAATTATAAATGTTTGAAGCGGCTGTCATGTCAGTTACCCTATTACACATACTGTGTGCATGTGTGTGCGCATGTATGCATGGGTACATGCTTGCTAAGAGGCAAAAAGGGAGACTAAAAAGCAATCCACAGAAAGGAAGGAAATCTCTGCAGCACATAGTTGACAAAGAATTTGTATCCAAGACATAAGCAGATGTCTACGAAGCAAGATAGAAAAGACAGGCAACAAAAGACAAGTCTCCAACGACCAAGAAACAAACAGAATGGTAGTCTATTTTACCAGCCATTAAGAAACTGCAAGTGCAACACTGAAGAGAAGAATGCCAGGGGGCATGGCAACAAATTTGGCATAGATTGTGAAATAAATGGCAAAGTAGCAAGTTCTTGGTATAATGATTATTTAACTTAAATAATAAATTTATCCTCTCACTTGCAAAGGTTTGTATTTGCTTACCTGTAAAAACTTATTTAATTGATTCTTTGACTTTTCCATAAACTTGTGATCTATAGACTTGAAAGGCAGCTTGCTAAGAGAAGGCAGCTGGACTTTTTTTAAAGAAGGGACACACTGTGGGGGAAAAATTAATGTTAGCATTTTATTTTATTTTATTTTATTTTA